GCAAGGCGTCAAAATGGGACTACAAAGCCCAGAAGCTGCAGTTACCTAACTACTCCGCCAAGGTGTGTGCTAATTTCTGAGATTTGGATCCATCCTCGGGTTGGGTCCTTGCAATGAACCTCCTGATCCTATTCGAGCCGTTGGCTTCGTTTGCAGCCCTTTTTTTCTCAGGCGATGTTTCTGGATTACGGTCCGCAGAAGTGCAGACACGCGTGTCCCTGCACACGTGCCGCCTATTTTCACGTAGCACCGGGACAGCCGCGGAACCGTTACGGAACAATGTAACCAACGTTCAGTCTGAATGGCATCCAGCATTTCACGCTGGCCAGCAAGTAAGTTCAGTTCCCCCTCCGTGGTCCTGACTGGAACAGGAAATACCGGTTCAAAATAAAACTCTGACAAACGCCAAGGAAGTCGAGTCCGTGGTGACACTGGGGCATTCGTCATTGTGCGGCTTTCGTTTGGCTTCAGCCCAGATCGCAGTTGAAACTCTCTTGTGAAGGGATTGAGCAAGTTTGAGAGGGACTTCCAAGTCTGGATATTCACTTCTAAGGCTGGTTTTTCAGCCTGACAATCAAGTCAGGCGATCAAGTTTGGATTGCAAAAATCCAGGTGACCCTTGAATAGCAGCTAAGGTGTAACTCTTGGCTGGCATTACGTGTCTACCTACCTCAAGAAAGCAAATAATTGTTTATTACCCATTACTTTTGTGTTAAGTTGGCTGTACAGGTAGAACAAGCTGAATAAAATGCAAAAGTGTTGAACGAGCCTGGGTTCTGGATCTCCAAGATGTCCTATATTTTATATCTCAATGCACATACTGGCTGACTTTGCTTTACAACATTGTAGCTCTGGAGACGTAACATGAAGGCCTGGGATAATCTTGCACCATATTTCCATAACCTTCTGAGAAAAAAGAATCTGCTATCAAGATACAAGCAAATTAAGTTAAGCAAGTTAAGTGTGTTTGAATAGTTCTAAGTGATAGAGTGGTCTCTTTCTATTGACAGCTCTTGACTTACCACTGATTATTTTACAACCATTTAGAATTGCAATGGTCCCAGAATGGGTGCTTTATATCCTGTAAAGCACTTCTGGCCATTGTAAAATGTCACACAAACACCCTACATGGTCATGTGACTGCACTTCCAGTGGTGGGATTCAAATTTTTACTACCAGTTCTGTGGATGTGGCTTGGTGGGCATGGCAGGGGAAGGATATTGTAAAATCTCCAGTCAGAGGTGGTATTTGCCAGTTCTCCAAACTACTCAAAATTTCTGCTACAGGCTCTCCAGAACTGGTCAGAACCTGCTGAATACCATCTCTACTTTGGACTATTTTTTTATCAAATTTAGAAATGACCCATTTCCCTCAGAGGGACTCTTGGCAACTGGCTTATATTTATAACTGGTTATAACATCCCAGTCACATGGCCATGATTTGCAACTTTTTTTGCTGGTTTCCAGCAAACTACATTCAATTCAGAAGAATGGGTTCACTTGTACTACTTGCTTATCACCCTTGTGATTTAATGACTGTCACAAAAGATGTCAAAAAACCCCAAACAAACCAGGTCCTATCATGTGGGTGCCTCAACTTAAGACTGCAGTAGCTTACAACCATTTCCAGTTCCACTTGTGGACTATGTATCATTCAAATGACTTTACATAATACACTATGGCAAATGTCCAGTGTAAGCACATACCCTTGATGTATCTCATAACACCCAAATCCTCCAAAGATGATAACACTGACTTTTATTAGCCTCAAATTATTCCTCACAGAATTATCAGCAAAGCAAATGTTTGAGCAAGGAGCAGTTCAATCCACTTCATGCCATTTAACTTTGATCTACATGATGCAGTCACATTCATGAAGATTCAGTTGTTACCCCTAATGGGGTCTGAATTTGATGTGTTTAGGTGATACAAGATACAGTGGTATTCCCTACAGCAGGGTTGTCAAAACTCGCGGCCCATAGGCTGGATGCATCATGTGCTGGCTCCAGTCCCGCCCTGTTTAGCGAAGGGGCAGAAGTCCCAATATATCACAATAGTCCCAATATACCATATATGACAACATCGTGACGTGAGTTTGACACCCCTGCCCTACAGCTTTCCTCTTCTTAAATCTGTCAAAAGGCAAGCAGCTAATAATGGGCTTGCCTAAACAAATCATACAGTTGTGCAATATTGGAATCACCTATATTTCTTAGGATTCAGCCTGTTTAGTGAGGATTTCTAATTGCTTTGTAGAACTACAATAATGTTCAAACCTCCATCCCGCCTTTTTGAATGTCCCCCAGTTCCATTAATAGTGGGAGTGATCCTGCACATCTGAGAGATTCTAAATGTCCCAGGCCCACTAAGGTCACAAATAGAAACCGTTTGTGTTTCTTTTTGCAAACCTTCTCTTCATGTGCTCACCTACAATATCTGGATGCATTGGGGAACAAAAGTACACTGCGATACTGTTAAGAGATCTATAATATCAGTCGTATCAATCATGGTGCCTTAAGATTTTGTTTCCTTCTTCCTTAGTTTCCTTGGGATAGACTTCCTGTCATTGTGCTAGCTCAATGCTCCCATTTTGACACAAGAAACTACTAAGGGATATCTATAACAGAAGTATTCACCATCACCATTAGAAAGTTATTTGATCTGAGGGTAGCACTATACACTGAAATTACAGATAAAAAAGATTACTGATGTCAAATACCGATGATCAGAATCCATTTATATTCTTTTTAGTAGCAATTTCTTTTTTATTTTAATGACTAATTTCTAAGATAAAAAGTGGGGTTTTTTTTGTTTCCCGGAATCAAGAACAATTGTGAAAATCTCACTTATATTGTCAAGAAGATAGAACATTATGGACACAAACATTTATCCCAGTCAGTTTTTCAGAACTATAGATTTTTTAAAAACAGTCAGTCAGCATTCATGGCCCCTGAGAATGATGACACTCTTAATGGGGCTTTTGAGTTTTTTCCCCACCCATATTTTTTTTCTGCAAATCTTGAGGCTTCTTCCACTTTCCAACAGCTTCCCTCATTTTACCCATGTTCAGATCTGGCAATAGTATTAATAAAAATCCAGAAGTGCTCAGTGTCAGAAGAAATATTTAACATGTCTAACATTTGAAAAAATGCAGAAACCCAGAAGTTAGATGTGTTGTAGCACGTATGCAACAAATAAATAAGTGATCCTATCTCACTGTTCAAAAATGAATGGGGGCAGGAGGAACTTACCTTTTACTGTTGAACTCTGCCCTGTTCAGAGTACTATAAACATAAGGCAAGCATGAACATGATTCAAATCTAAGCAAATATTTTAAAAAGTAAATTTAAGAAGAAATTTGTTGAAGAACTAAACTCAGGGATTACAATATTGGTTTAAAAAAGGCATCTCATTGAAATAGTTTTGAAGTTTTATTAAAATAATTAAATTCTAAGGAGGGAGTGACCCGAATTTATCTTGGCTTCTTTTCTCCTCAGCATAAATGGAAAGCCATTTGAATACTGTTACTGATGGAAAAAATGACTTTTTATATAGTTTGCTACCACTTTTAGCTCATTGTTAGGGGACATGATGATTAAAGGGCACTGAGCTACAGAAACCAGGTCCCAGTTAAGAGAAAAAGTCCACAAAATGTGAATCTTCTTTGCTACATCCAAAGCTTGGAATTCTCATAATGAGACAGAAAACAAACCAAGGCTGAGACTAGAGATATTGTGAAATTTAACCATCAGCCCCTATGTAAGTATCAAGAGCTAATCCTCATTATTTCAGTTTGTCTGAGTTTGGTTTCAAATTTGCATTCCTTCTTGGGTTGTACAGAACTACAGCAGCCTCCAGTCTGTGAACAGAATTTGGCTTGCAAGCTTCCCTCCATAGTTGGAGAAGGTCCCCAAAAGCTTTGCTGTTTCTCCAAGATCCGTGTATGCTTCTCATACTAAGTGGAGGCTTCCCAACTCAAGAACACCTTGGTCCTCCTTTGTTTATACTAGTAGGAAATGCCATGTTTAACAATGTCTCTGTGAGAGGCACATATAAATAAGGCTTCAGGAAACCTGGTCCCTGCCTTTTGGTGTTATTTGGTCCTCAGAAAATTATTGGAGGTCAATCCAAGATTGGGACTGAAGTTCCCTAGGTCTGGACTAGAGAATAAGATCTCATACAGGTCACAGATTCTCTAAATCTCTAATTTAGGACAATGGATTGAGAATAGTTTTTGAAGCAGCCATGACATTCTTCCAAAATAGGTTTCGAAAACAATTTTTCAACTGCTTTGCATAGACCTAGTTTCTTCACTCATCTTAAAATGTAATGTTGCATTTAATTAAGGAGGATGTTGCACTTAATCCCAGTTTTTCTATGCAGTTCACTATTAGTTTAATAATTTCTACTCCTTATTTCAAAGTTAAACATAAATTCAGGTTTTCTAATTATATACATGTAATAGGTAAGCTTAGTATTTCAACTTAGTCTGTTTCTGATTTTAAAAAAAACAAATGTCCCACTAATTAGATTCACTTTTGTAAGAATTATTGGAGTACTTCCCCCCACAGCTACTTAGAAATTATTGCACAGTCTCATTCTATGGTGGGACATAATATGATATATTGGACATACCACTTGATTTATGGCAATTCCACTGAATATTGCCATTATTATAAAAGTTACTGATAGTGGAGTAAATATATAGCAAAAGTATCCAGTTTGGCTAGCAACTCTTATGCAAATATCACACTTCTACAATTGGATACAATCTTGCAGAAATATTTCACACTCTTATGCTTGCAATATAAGAAAACTCAGACTTTCACTCACAGACGAACACAATACAGAAGCCTGATGATGGCAGATGAGATTCTGCTAAAACGTTGCTACAACTTTAAATGCACAACTGTAATGACGTGGGAAAATACCCGAACAAAGCTGAATACCATACATGTAAGTACCCGTGAAAACTTAAGAAAACATATATATATTTATATATATATATTCCATTAGTGTTTGATAAAATAGATTTGAACAACATTTTGAGAATTTAAATTTGGACAAACAGGTTAAAACTAGTATACCGTGAGGAAGAAAGAAATGAGTCAAAGTCCAAAGTCTTTGGATTTTTATAGATAATTATCGAGAATTAGGCTCTCCACCAGTGTGTGTTAAAGTTGATAAATCCAGTTCAATTGCTAATGCAAGTGAAAGTTCCTTTGACAATAGATCATGAAGAGAAATGCCATCATGAGAATAAATCCATTTTTTTCCAGACCAGTCATAACGCTTTGGGCCACTGTGAAAAATTAAGACATAAGAGAGCTAAAATTTAAACATTTACAAAATATAATCGAGCGTGCATAGAATAAAAGCATTGGTTTACACTAAGTTATAAAGCTCATAGATAACCTTGCTTAAAATGGAGAAGAATATTCTGTATTATTTGATAGAAGAAAGTAAAAACAAGGATACCTGATTCCTAATTATACATTTCAAATTCATATTTCTTTGGAAATGTAGGAATTTTACCAGTTATTATACTCATGGCACCTTCCTTCCTTGCTTTACAACTGGTGTATATCTCTCTAGCATAATCAACTTAAAATTTACTATTTCATCCAAACTGGCAATTGACAGTTTGAATAAGACCTGCAGCAATATTCAAGTTTGAATATCTGGTTAATAAGACCTCCCCCTTGTTTGTTTTTTAATCACTGAAATTTTAGTTTTTTTTCATTCATTCTGTAACAAGAACTTTAAAAGTTAGGTAAATATTTGTTTTTATCCCTCCCCAATTTTTCTAAGGTGCTTAATGTTTTTTAAGCTACAGACATATTTCTTTTAGTCACTTTTTATCAAAAATTATATGTAATCTAATGTACGGCTGGCTTGAATCTGCTTGCTTGGTAACTACTTGTAAAAATAATCAGCAGCAAATTTATATACATATATACAAATGCTTTCTTTTATGCACAACTATTTGTACATAAATATACACTATTAAGTCCTGTGGAACCTCCTTATGAAAAAGTATGTAAAAAAGGCATTCTTCTAAAGAACAGTAATTGACTGTTTCTGACACTATTATTTGGATGTTGTATGCTTACAAAAGAAACAACCCAGTCAGCTACCTTCAGTATTTTATTTACTAATAGATTTTACAGACTCAAAGGATGGTTTATGTACTTTGTTTACAATCAAACAACATCCAATCAATAGCCTTTCAACTAAGACAAAAGCATTAGTAGTAGTAAGTAGTAGCATTCAGCTGACTTCATCTGGGCTTGGGAGTTTGAAGCCTCAAGTTAGCTTATAAGTGATTGGCAGCCAGAAAATTCTAGGTGATGTGCTAAATAGGGAAATTTTGTTAGAAGATGGCATCAAAGTCTAGAATGTGTACAATCTGGAATTGCCATACTGTTATTTTAGAAATTTCAGAATGATACGTAATAAATGAATTGTGCATTATGGTGCTTTAGTTCAACTACAAATTTTCAAATCATTGTAACCTATAAACTAAACTCACCTGATTGGAGAAGAGAGCCATATCTGTTTATTTGGTGTCTGTTTATTGATTACATAAGTTCCAATGTTTCCACCCAGTTTCACTGTTAGTACTCCATTCTTCAGAATAAAAAGTTAAAAAAAAGGCCTTTGAATTAACATTATTGTGCAAGAATTTTTTCAAATATTAAGTAGAGGTACTTTTACTACAGTTAAAAGAATCACTCATATCACTGTTAAATGAGTACATTTCAACCAAATTAAACTATTTGCTTTAAGAAGTGTGCAAGAAATGTGCACGCCCCCATGTACACACATTAGTGTTATACCTCTCGTTGGTCACACTTTCCCAAAAACATTAATCCAGAACCATAGCTGAACTGGGGGTGGGTGGGAATGCAAATTCTGAATTGTGGACAAGAGCAAATATTTCCACAGGCAAATTCTTTGATATATAGAATCGTGGAGATCATGTGGGAGAAACTATATGAAGCATTCAACTTTAATGCTAAAGTCATCTTAAGGAAACAACATGAAGGAATGACAGGGTCTGCCTACGTAGCATTGTGCCTAAGGTTTCCAAACGATGCAGCACACTTGAAGGATGTGCATTTGTTCACTTATGCAGGCCTTTTCCATTCAACTCAGGCATTGGGCTTCAACTTGCTTGATTCCAAGTAAGCATGGCTTTTAGAAATACACTGGTCTGTGATATACCCGAAGGCTCCATGGAGAAGGCCAAGCAGTGATTTTACTGCCCTTGAGGAACTCTGATAATCATTTTAGAATTCTGAACCTATAGGACAATCTCCCAATATTTCCAACCATAATTAACAACATATAGAGGGTTTTTAAATGTACTAACAACATATAAAAGGTTTTTAAATGTTCTATCTACAAACAGGTTAAACATTTACAGAAAAAAATCATAAAAAGCAATAATAGCATTATACCCCAAAGGAGACATCGTAATCTTTAGAAGTAAACGGCTTGTCTGCCAAATCCTCAAAGAAATCTGTTAACGATTCCAGTGTTTCCTCAGCAAGTTTTTCATACTTGGTTTCATCTAATGAGCTGTAAAAGTCATGTGAATAAAGATTCGCTCAAATTTACTTGCTGAAAACAAGAGGGAGAGATTAGAAACATTCAGAGGAAAAAAATTCAGACTACTTGAAGATATTCGTTACTAGCTAGTGTTGGAAGCATTTCATAGATTTTATTAATAAAGAATGGGGGAAAGTTCATTATAGACCATGAAGAGAGAAATCAGCTGAGGTTTAATTCTAGATAGGCCATTAAGTTATTTCTATTCATTTAATTTTAGCAACCATCTGATATAAGAATTCTTAGTCTATTACTACTCAAAAAACATTTGGAAATGATATGAATATGGTATATCAGATAGTAGCAATTACTCCTCCATGAGAAAAACCACTGAATATATTTCGAAACTTCTAGAAACAACAAATGGAACTTTGGATATATTGCCAAATTCCTTTTCTATCAGGAATGGAAAGTATTCTTAGCCTGGTTGTTCTTTTACTATCCCTGCAGGAGGAACAATTCATTTTCTCATAAGGAAATTAATAATTTCAATAAAGAGCTGCCTCCCAGCCAGTTAAGAGAATATGTTCAGTACTAAAACAGAATCACCATTTGGAAGGACATCTGCCAAAAATGTTCTGGATGAGACTTGTAAATTAAGCCTGCATTGTCTCATGTAAGAATAAAATAAGGACAAGTTGCTCAATATTTATTTGTATCCCGCCTTTATTATTTTTACAAAAAACTCAAAGCGGCAAACGTATTAGCTCCTCCTCCTATTTTCTCCACAACAACCACCCTGTGAGGTGGATTGGGCTGATAGAGAGTGACTGGCCCAAAGTGACCCAATCAGCTTTCATGCCTAAGGTGGGACAATCTCCTGGTTGGGAGTCTGGTGCTTTAACTACTAGACCTAACTGGTTCAATGGATCAGTAATGCTGCTAAATTAGTGATATTCCTAATGTTTCAATGCAACATTATATACAACAATTAAGGCAACAGTTAAGGATACCTCCAGAACCTGTAGGGAAACAATAACAGACTTACCCTGAAGCAGAAGAGAGAAAAGGAAGGGTAACATTTAGCAAGGAACTCCTATAGTTAGTTACCTTTAGACCAGAGTAGAGGACTAAAAAAAATCTAGGAAAATGCTCTCTTCTGCCATCTAGAAGTTACAAAAAAAGTTATTTGGTCCTGCTTGTCAGATAAATGTTAGATGCAGCTCAACTAAGAATATTAATCCTACTAAAACCTGTGGTTTACTACACTAAATTGAGGACATATGCTTTCAGTTAAGGATTCCTTAACTCTAACATGCCCCAGCTTGTGTGGCCTCAATATGACAGGGTTTTTTGGGGGGGACAGATGAGGGAAGTCGTCAGGTAGTTACACCAACAGTGTATTCTTCCAAGTGGGGTCACCCAAGGTGCAAAGGTCATCATAGCTGCCCAGTTAGAGCAAGCAACAATAGAGGAAGGTGGATGATCACTGTAGCGACAATAAAGACATCATTTCATACTGCATAGGAGAAGGCAAATAGTAAATCACTCCTGTATTTTATCAAGTAAACCAGAAGGACACAGGACGTATGAGGGGTCTTTGGTGCTCTCTTAGCTTGGTTGTTTTCCTGCAGAGGTTTCATTACCCAAACAAGGTAACATCATCAGTGCTTTATCTTACAGAGCAGATGAAGTAAATGCTGGATGGATCAGGTCCGATGGCACTCAACATGCTATGGATCTTCCAGAGTAGAAACAGTATTTATGACATAGACTGATTAAATCCTATGAAATGTCTGAATGAAATGTTTTCATTCAGAGAAAAGAAAATCCAAAAATAAAGGTAGAAATGCAGTAGAGCACAAAGCCTAAGAAGCACTAATATGGAAAAGCTCAACGTAATGAAAAACGAAACAAACTTACTGTACACACTGACATCTTGAGTATCGATGAATTGAAACAGAGTGAAATTGGCCACTTTCAGTCAGAAAATCATACTGTTTAATTCTCAGACCATGAAATATCAAAAGACCTCTGTTGTTTTCATAGTCAGGAAGGTTATAGCAAAGACAGTATTTTGGTATAATGCAGTTAATGATCAAATAATATGAGTTAGATTTTGCAGACAACCCTGTTTTTGATCTATGATAGTTATCCAGATCTGTGATCCTGGTGTAGAGGAAGAAGAGGAGTGAATTTTATGATCAAGTTCAATCAGAAATCAATAGAACATGAAAACAGGATGTGCTGTTTTTGATTGAGAACTGGAAAGACAATGTTACAAATATTGAGGAAAATGTAATTGAACTACAAAAGCAGGAAACAGAAATGAAACAGGAGAATGAATGGTTAGTTCTTGCCAATCCAATTTCTTCATTGGTATCTTTATCATCAGGTGGAGCAACAGAGAAACCAAACTGATGTAAGGAAATGGAAGAGCTCAACTTAAAACAGCAAAGACAGGGCGAGGAATTATGGAACGGATCACAAACTGCTAGTGTGCAACCCCCAAGTCAGGTTAAAGTGGAAAAGCAAAACCAGTTTCCACTATATAATCTTGACAATATAATTACCATGTAAAGGAAAACTACAAAATCCTGGGCCCCATTTACGGGGAGCCATAGGAACTGTGGAATAAAATCAAAGAAACTGTTTAGGATGAATGTGAAAAATATATTGCTGAAGACCAAGAAACAGAAGAAACCAACTGGATGAGAAGAGAGATGGTAAAAATTGCCTATAGGATAAGCCAAGGCTAAGAAAGGTAAAGAAACTGAGCAAAGAATTTCAGAGAGAAGCATTACCACAGCATTACCATTGTAAAGACACTAAAATGGAAACAGACAGAGAAAAACAACATTTTCCAAAAGATTTCCAAACTCAAAAGGATATTCCAACCTCAAACCTAGTTTGCTAAAAGATGTCAAAAACAATAACTTATTCAAAGCAGATTAAACAAAAATGAGAGTACACTGAAATACCACATAGTAAGTACTGGTACATCAATATCCAAGATACCTTAGAAGATATGTATTCATGTTTGTAAGAACTGCTAGTACTGGAAGTTAAATCAGCATTCCAGTCATTACCAAGACAGAATGCTATGGGAATAACAAAAGAATCAGGAGAGGTTCTAATCAAAGTTTGCAAGCAAATCTGGAACAACACAGTTGTCAATAGTCTGAAAGAGCTGAATCTACTTATCAATATCAAAGAATAGAGATTTCACAGATTGCGCAAACTATTACACAACATCCTTTCATTTCACATCCAAGTAAAATAATGCTTAGAGTCATCCAAAACAGATTAGAGCCTTAGGCACAAAGAGGAAATACCATATGTTCAAACTGGTTTTAGAGAAGGCCAAGGAATAAATAAGTGACATTATTGCATGTGAATACTGGATACTTGAAAAAGTCAAAGAATGCCAAAAAAAGTTAATAAGCACTTTATTGGATATAGAAAGGCTTTGAACTATGCTTACCATGTCAAGCCAGGGAATGTCCATAGGAAAATGGGAGTCCCAGAATCTCTCACATGCAAAATCTATACTCATGACAGAAAGCCAATTCTGAACAACAACAACCACAGACTGGTTCAAGTGGACAAAGGAGTGAGATAAGGCTGTATATTCTCCTTATTTATTCAATTTATAGACTGAAAATATTTGACACATGCTATATTGATAGAAGATTAATATGTTTTAAAACTGGACGAAATATCAATAACTTCTGATATACTGATTACTTTACTTTGAAAGCTATACATGATTTGAAAGTTGTAATAATTAAAGCCAAAAAACAGGAAAATGGAATTAAGAGTAAATATAAAGATGACCAAACCAATGATAATTGGTACAGTTAAAAAGCCTTTGAAATAATAAAGAAGATACTGAAGTGCTGGATGGCTTCTGCTTTTTAGGATTGACCATCAACAGTGAACAAGCAGCAGTCAACAAAGATTTTAGACACATTACATAAAGATACAGCTACTTTGAGTTCATAATGCTGAAAAAAAGAAGGGTGGATTATCAGTAAGTTGGTGGAACTGAATTACAACAGTCACTAACTCATAACTGACAGACTTAAAAGGTCAAATAGACAACATATCATTTTTGACAAAGTTTATCTATGTGGATGCTAAGAGTCAACACCTACTTAATGAAACTAAATCACAATGGGTACTAGCTTTGGTTAATGCTAGCTCTGAGTGCTAGATATCAAGTGCTGCTTGCTCACTAATTTAGCCTTTAGAAAAAAATATATAACACAAATCATTATCAATTGTGCACACAACATACCCTTTGTCTATGAGAGTTCCTGTTCTTCTTTCAAATATAAGTTGAATACTCTTGACTCTGTTTATCAGAACATGGTCTAAAAAGTGTAGATGAACATCCTGTAAAAAAAGTTTCAACTTAAACAAGCTTTTGCCAAGATAGTGACCTATAGATGGATTAGGACTATAATTTAATTATTTTGTGGATGTCTTTGATTTAATGATTTAAATTGTTTTATAATTTTAGAATTGTAAACTGCCAAGATCACTTAGTAGAAATTGATGAATGAATAAATTTTCTAGAATTCTCAGGTAGCATGGCTGAAAAGAATCCTGTGAATTATATTTAGACATATTTAGACATAGGGGGCGTGCATAAGCGCACCAACGTGCCTACCGTCCCTGTCCTATTGTTTCTCTTATTCTTCTTTTATTTTTCTTATATGTACCCATTTCATGTATTCACAACTATGTATACACTTATACTTATTATCTTGTAAACAATTGGCAAATCAAATAGATAAATAAAATAAATAAATATTTAGAGGAAAACTGTTTTAAAGAAGGCTAGAAGTAAATGCCATGACATACAACTGAGGTCTATAAATGAGCACAACTGTATTTCAAATCTAAGTGCGTTTAAACACTTGCTATGTGGTCTTGGTGCACTCTTGAGTTTAGTTGTTTTCTTGCAGACATTTCATTACCAACTACTGTAGGTAACGTCATCGTGCTGGAAAAGATTTACTTAAAAGCCTTAGTGACTCATTTAGTGATAGTTGTAGAAATGGTCATAAAATCAAGTCTAATCACCTGACAATTGGATTTACATCACTACAACTTACAACTAAAATCTTGATCATAAGTCAAAGACTACCTATAACAATACCGATTATAGCCCTTGGAGTTGATTCAGTCCCACTATTTTTCCGGTTTCTTATCAAAACCCAAACAGAATTTAGACCAAGCTAAGTTAGAACAGGTCACCAGTAAAGAGGGACACAGAGAACTGGGCAGCTTTGCTGGCTGGGGAATTCTGGGAGTTGAAGTCCACTAGGCTTAAAGCCACCAAGGTTGGAGACCCCTGGCCTAGACGAAGGTGGTGAACAATCATGTCAGACTATCAATGGCCTCCATACCAATTTACGGAGAACGAGCTCTTCAGTCAGGGCTGCCCATCCTCGGCAACTTTAAGAACGGTAGACTTCAACTCCCAGAATTCCCCAGCCCAGCCATGGCCGGAGTTGAAGTCCACAAGTCTTAAAAGTTGCCGAGGTTGGACAGCCCTGCTCGAAGGAAAGGATGACAAGGCTCTGCGGCTGCCCTTCCGAGGCTTTGGGTCAAACGATCTTTAAACTTGACCGCTTTAAGAGTTGTGGACTCCAACTCCCAGAATTCCTCATCCGGTCATGTCAGCTCAGGAATTCTGGGAGTTGAAGTCCACAAGTCTTAAACTTGCAAAGTTTGAAGGCCCTTGCTCTGGGCGGATCAGGGGCGATCCCTTCCGGACCGAGGCGACGCCTACCTCGCCGAGAACGGCGGGAAATAGAGTTCAAATCCTCCGCCAAGGCCTACTTTCTTCTTGCCTCCCCCCGCCCGGCCCCGCCGCCTCCCAAAAAGACGATCTGAGCAAGTCCTGGTGTCCTTCCTCCCTCCCTCCCTCCCTCCGGGGATGCCCGCACAAGCCAAGCATGCTCACCGGCTGGCTGAGAAAGAAGGAAGAAGAGGCAGCCGCCGCGGCCTCTTTCCTCCGGCCCGCGCCGTTGCTTAGACGGCGGGCCCCGAGCAACAGTCCCGCGGAGAAGACGCAGGCTCTCCCCCGGCTCCACATGTTGCCAGGCCGACCCTTCGGGAAGAGGCCTCCCTCTGGCCGCCGCGAACCACAGAGAACGGAGGCCGTGGAAGCCGGCGAAGGCCCGCGGCTGCCCTCTGGCGGTGCCTGAGAAAGATCTCTAGGATCCGAGGTGCTTTGGCTTTGGTCTTTTCTAAGTGGAATTTTAAAAAAAAGAGATTCTTTTTTTTACACTAAAAAGACAAGAAACTAATAAGAAAGAGAGGTAAGTAAAGAAAGAACAAAGCAAAAGTGCAGAAAAAAATATAAGAAATTGTTCTGATTTTATATATTTACATGTACCCCACCTTTGTTATTTTTACAAATAACTCAAGACAGCAAACATCTCCCAACACACCTTCCTCTCGTTTTCCCTTCAACAACAAGCCTGTGAGGTGGGTTGGGCTAAGAGAAGTGACTGGCCCAAAGTCATCTACCTGGCTTTCATGACTCAGGTGGGAATAGAATTCATTGACTCTAGTTTTCTTAATGACTGGACTAAACCTGCCCTTTTACAAGAGTTATAAGTATAAATTTAAATTGAGGTTTACAACATTGCTTTCATTTCTTTCTATTAACAATTATTTTTTCTAATAGTCAAAATCATACATTATCGCACTTTTTTTCTGTCTTACACACGAAGTTCCAATCAGCATTAAAATGAATCAATGTCTTCTCTCTAATCAAAGCTGTCAATTTTGCCAGTTCAGCAAGTTCCATCACCTGTACTATTCACTGTTCTATTGTGCATGTCAATTTTTTCCACCATCATACATAGAAAACTCACTGCTGTTTTTTTTAAAGGTTCCATGGTGGGTTTTTACAGTTTTTTATCAATAAGTTCTTAAAAAAACATATCTGGCTTTACTTGTAAATAAAGTTTTAAAATCTTCTAAATTCATGCATATATTTGAATCCATTTTTTAGGTTTTTTGCATGTCCACCATCAGATCCACCATCAAGTCCTCTCTTGTTGTCTTTTACAACATGTGTATGTTAATACATTTTAAACAATTTTTTTCTGGTGAAAAATATCAATGATACATCATTTTGTAAAGATTTAAGATTATAACAATGTAAATTTCATCCATCCACTTATTCTCCTATCATTTCCTTTATACATTATAACCAAAATTTTAGCATATTTTATTATACATTCTTTTGCTTGTTCTTCCATTTCAAATTTTAATAAAATCAATACATTTCAGCTGTAACATGTTCATCATTTGTACATAATTGTTTCAATTTTTACAATATTCAAAACCATTTTTTTACTTTAAATCTCTCTGATAAATGCATATAAGAAAATCACTGATGTTATATCCTCAAGTCAAATCTCATGATTTTGTTTTAAAATAACCCTAGGAAAATCCTGCTATGTCACCATAGGTTAACATTTCTGTTTATTATTTTTCTTGTATAATACAGTTATTGTGGTGAGAGATACAGAGGTATTTTAGGACACACGCTGAATTTATATCTACTCCATCTTTTCAATGTGGCACATCTAACAAAAATATTTTTAAAATCTTCATTAACCTTAACTTTATCATATCATAAATAGCTGTGCCTCCAAAACCTCAAATCATGTCCTTTTATTTCCAATAACTTTCTATTTCTTAGCCTCACCCTCTCTTTCATCCAAACTAAATAACAAGCTACAAACTATAATTTCAAATCAAATAAACCCAAACCTTTTTCTTTAGCATATGTTAGAAATATTTTAATTAAATTTAATTACAAAATAAAAATACAGAAAAAAGTTGAGAAAGAAAAAAAAGTATAAAGAGAAAGAAAAAAGTGGTGACTTTTGACTTTTTCAGTGCAATAAAATATAAAACAACACAGCTGCAAACTTTCGTTTCTTTAGCATCTTGTAGGGCAGCGGTGTCAAACTTGTGGCCCGCTGGCCGGATGCATCATGTACTGGCCATGCCCACCCCCATTTTAGTGAAGAGGGAAAAAGTCACGATACATCACGTGACATGACACTGCGAGTTTGACACTCCTGTTGTAGGGCCTTCCTGCCACATTCACTTGGGTTCTGTGACTTACTGCTACATAGTAACATACATGAAATAGAACTTTTGCATAATACAGAGAAAGTTACAATTTTTGTCACTGGGTTACTTGTTGCAATCATAGTCTAACCGTCTTATATATTTTGAATATTTTATAGGGTTTACAAAACATGCTAAGAGCCATCAGTTATGGTGCGGATGGTTTATTCAATATTCATCCCAGTTGCCTGGGTTCACACCAAACACTGAAACATAAAGTAAACATGTCTTCTTTCAATGTGCTAGGATAAAATGTGGTTGGCTTGTTTGTCATTCTGTGTATTGTGTGCAAAAAGAAAACCACCATTTTAATTACATGTTCTGTGGCTAAACATATAGCCTTACCCAGAGCTAAAAAATCCTGTTCAAATTAGGTCTGAAAACTGCTGCTGTTTTCTCTTTGTGCTCTGCTTGGTTGTTGTTTGCCTTCCTTATGCTAAGTAGCCAGACTAGAATAATTACATGCATTGGAAAACATTCTACAGCATATTGATTTTGCTCTCAGATTATAGGGCCTGGAAAAGTAAACTAGGTCTCTGCAAGGCAGTTTTGTGAGGCATTGAACACTGCACATACAACGTGATTTACCTTGTTGGAGACCCAAAACTCTGCAGTTGTTTCATTCCACAGCTGATTGTTAGCTGTTAGTGGCCATTCTTGTTTCTCTTTTTAGGTAAGGAAACAGGTCATGGGTCATCTAGTATTCCTTTAAAGATTGTTTTGGAAGAAACAATGTGCTGTGGCTTTGGAAAATCAAGTCGAACAAGTTCTGAGAATCATACAAATGCAAGCTAAAGACTCTGTTTAATCTCAGCTCCTGATAACTACACAGTCAATCAGTAGGATAGAAGTGGTTTGCCCTCCTTCCAGAATAGTTTTCTGTAACCTATTGAGCCTACGCCTGTGGTTCTAGGGCCTCTCAGTAGTCTCCCAGTCACAAACTGATCAGTGACAGTCCTGAAACTGGTTCGCTTTTACACCCAAACAAATTTATCCAGCTGGTGCCAAAACCAATTACACAGCTTAAAATGTAGGATTGGACAGGAATAGTTTCAATTCAGCACTTAAATAGTTCTTAAAAATAAAACAGGATAAGTGGAATTCTTCCCTCCTTTAATCAGCTTTTTTTAAAAATAAAATAAAATGCTTATTGTACAGGGAAACCAATTGTTTAAATGCTGAGTACTGCTTATTTTTTTTTGGAGAGGCATAATGTAAATAGACTGACTGGCTTAAGTACCTTGTCAGAGTTTCCTAAAGAATCAAGCACCAGGCCAAAAATTGAATATATCCTCCTGCCGGCCATTTCTACCCCTCCCCCCTCCCCCAGGATCCTTTCCCAAACAGTGAGTGGAGAACACCTGGTCTAGTTCTCACCTGAGTTCATCTGTATTTATGTGTCACAACGATACATTTATAGTAGAGCCTAAGACTTCAGCTAGTAGCAAAGTCTTTTCTCTTGCATGTTTTTTCCTTCACATGTGCTCTCTTTGACAGGCAGACTTTGTGCATGGGCAGGAATCTGCATTTTCCACTGAAGCAGTTTCCTCCAGGATGCCTCCACCACCACGTGGGAATGATCTTGGGAGACAGAAGTCAAATGCTGGACAATTGGCATATAAAAGAAGGAGAGGAATTGTGGGAAGCATTTTGGAAGGGACCTTCCCTAGTTTCCTGGAGATAAAAGGACAAAAATACTTTCAGACATGCAAGATTGTGTTAATACACCCTTACAAGAAAGCTAGAGTTGCTATCCTGGTTGTGCTTCTTGTTTGGACTACCACGGAGGGCCTCAAAATCATGACAGTCCCTGCCAATCCTGTATAGCTGACAGACACGACTGCCTTTCCTTTAAAAATATTAACATGTTGGGAGTTTCCGGTTTGTCGGCTTCGCGAGCGGTAGGGATTCGCGAAGCTGCGCGATCCCTGCCGCGCTAGCCGTTTTGGGGCTCCGACCCGGACGGGTGCGGAGCAAGGCTGCCCTGCAGGGGTAGCTGAAGGTAAGGGGGATCCGGAGGAAGGGTTTGGGGGTGTTGCAGACCCCCTCCCTGGCCGGCAGAACCCCCTGTTACCAGGACGGTGCAGCGGCGGTCCGTAATGGCCGCCACAAAGAAGTTGACAGCCGGGCAAGTATGCGCAGGAGGAAGAAGAGAAAGTTATTGAAAGTAAAAGTTCTTCTTGGTCGACCCAGGGCTTTGAGATTTATCTAATTTAATTCCTGGAAAAGATGGTTTTCTGATGATTTCTTCCATAAGAGGAAAAAAAGCGGCTATTTTGAGGTGCTGAAGGGAAAGTTTACTCTCCCTCCCGACGGAATTAAGCCGGAAGGGAGAGGATAAAGAAAATATATTAATTTGGATCTTGTTGGAGGAGATGCCTTGAAGACTTGAGGACAGAAATACAATCTTAATAAGGCTTTAAAATATAGACTTGGATTCTTTTTTTTTATTTGTTTGATACCACCCCTGGAAGAGGAAGGGGGAATTTTGGCTTGCTTGGATTTATTGAGGATTGTGGATTTTGGGATTGTTTTGCCTTTCTCTCGGAATATTTGGTTGGTGTAAGAAGAAAGAGGAATAAAGAAAAGAAAAGAATTATTTATAATGGCTTTCCTTTTTGAAGACCTGAGGGATGAATATGAGCAAACAAAAGCAGCCTGCAAAGATGGCATGGAAAAAGCTTTTCTATTTCTAGAAATGGCGCTGGTCAATTACCAACAGACAATGGAACAGATGGAAACGGAAGAAGAACAACAAGGAAGAGACGAAGACGCCATCTTCATTGAATCCCAAAACTTATCTAAGGAAGAAGGAAGGAAGAGAGCAAGGAAAATGAAGGACTTAAGATCTAAAAAAACATTTGAGAAAAAGAAAAATATGATGCAAAGTAAATATAATGATAACAAACAAGAGAAAAAGGGAACACAACAGAGAAGGGATCCCAGCAAGGTAGAGGTTAGAAGAAGAAGGGGGGGTAGGAAGATTTGGTGGGGGAAGAAAGAAAGGGGAA